CATCCTCCAGGAAATGCCGTGAGGGTGCAACTGGACATAGCACTTCTCCTCGACTCTATAAAGCCTGTTGATTGTCAAACTGGAGCCTGGATCAATGTTATAGGGTACCTTCAATCTCATCGGGAGCTAATATCCGATGCATCACGCAAATTAGTGGTTTGCGTTCAAGCTATAATCGTTTGGTCTTTTGGTCCCTCAAATATCCACAACTACGAGAAAAGTCTTGACCTGGAAAATACCGAAATTTGATCAGCATCCACCATACACAATCGAAATTGTAGAAGGTCGTAGGCGTCTTCTAAAAAATGAAGGCTAATATGGCTATCTCGACGTAAATTTTTTATTCATTGGAAGTTGGATCAATCATCTTAAACAGCTTCCTACTCTGAATCTAGCGCTACAGTAATCGAATGGCAGGGCAACTTGGTTCTAGGCACGAAATCAGGATTAATCTGAGTCTATTCACAATGTTGATGATTGGCTGATGATTCTCTCAGTCTGCTTGAGACTAAAAAAAGCTAACTCATATAATGTAGATCTGTTTTAAGATTTTTTATGCTTAGTTAGCAGGATCACATAGGAACTACGTTCGAAAGGATTGTTGTATCTTTCAACATTTAAAGTGAATGTCCTGATAATGATTCAACTCGACCTTTTAATTTCTCATCAACTAAACACCAATCTTTGAAAGTTATCCGCCTGCACATCATTCAGAACGGATAAGTCGTGATGAATTAGTTTAGTTTGAATATCATCATATCCAAATTACTGACTACAAATGTTATTCCTTAATCATGTTGGGCATTCAATTATAATCTAGCGCACTAAAATTGCAGTATGCTCACAAAAGTTACAGAAAAAGTTGTACAGGAAGATTTCTCTGGAGAAAAACAGGGACCAATACGGAAATGATAAAGCTGTCTTTGGCAGAAATTGATGGTGATATGAATTTAGATGATGAATGTGATCGAGATGAATTTCTATATATTCTAGTATATTTTAGGAGATATGATATGATCAGGTTCATGTACCTCGAGACAAGCAACCAGATTGTGTTCCTCTAGATATAGATTCCTTAGAACAATTACTTATTTAGTTAAATTCCAATAGTCTTTGTTGTGTGTTTGAGATTTTGACTAGGTTTCTTGTGAACAGTCAGTGATGTTTCTCATATCACTTAGACACAGTCATGATTGATAAGAGAAGTAAAAACGATCAACCGTGTCTATACATGACGTTAAGATCAGGTCATAATTGTTTAAACAATACCAGCAATTGCATGAATCATATCTTTTCAGAGCAGGACTAGCCTTAAATATGTGGGCCGTTCACTATAGTAAATGACAGTAGTGGTAGTTTTTACTTAGGAGCATAAGTCTAATTTTAGAGTATAAAGATCATTTACATATGTTGGAAATATCGCGCAATGAAATAGAGGGCCCGTACGTCCACAACACTCTGTGTCTTCATTTCCAACACAATGATCTGAAGAATAAATAGTAAGAGTTCGACTCTCAAGTTGGTAATTTGAGCCATTATTCCCAAAAAGTATCTTGAGATACTACAGAATGGTTACCCAGATTTCCTGAAAACAATAACTACCCAGGAACCTCCTTAATTAGCGCCTCAGTAATTCAATGGGCCTTAAGATTCGTGCACCTGCTGCCTTTAAGAGTTAATGTAAGAGTCTATGGTGATCTAAGTACTCGATAAGCTCGTACCTGCTTGTCTCTGAACGGATCTCCATCCTAACAATTAAATGAATCTAGCTTTTATGTCTCGATGGATGCAGGAATTTACATGCAACTTTCAGATATTCGAGAGCAATTTGTGGCTTCATTTTCGCCACTAACTTTAGCCAGTCCTACTCCTTGAGTTGGGTGTGAAGACCACGAAATGGTTTCGTCCTTTTTACTATCCCGCACTTAAAATTTTGGCAATTGATATGGTGCCACTGGATATCGTGGATTCAAAGTCGCCACGGCTCACGCTTGGCTCGCCTGGTCCACTCAAGAAAAGGCCATTGGGCGAAGTAATCAGTGATTGCGGTCGGCTGTCGATCAATATCAAAAGATTTTGCATTAGCACTCCCCGGTCGAGCCCTAATTTCCATCTATATTCTAGATTGGGAGTCGCAACCGCTTTGTTTTGGAACGCCGAAGACTGCAGATACAGCTCTCTACAAAAATTAATAAAAAGAAGCAATTTTCTCTATCGGAGAGTAGGATACATAAGGTACGTATAGGACACTGAAAAAGAGGAGATAAGAAAACTGGTATAGGAATTGAAAGTTTGAAATTACGTATATACAAAAAACAATAATATTTAACGTAGCTGATCAGCTGAATATATTGTAATTTAAAGGAGTTACACTGAGTTACGGGAATAATCCATTGTGTGTGTACTGTTTGCACCAGTACGGTAGAGATGGAATCTAGGGGCTAGTCAGCTATAGAGACTACCAAGGATGGAGATTGGACACGGTTGCTAAGCAACGGAGGCTGTTATGATCAACGTCGTTAATTAAAATCCCTAATGTAAATAGCATGATGAAGGAGACATTCCATCTCTACGCTCCGTTAATTTATTGATTTTATTCTGGACTTGCTCTGCTGTATACTAACACCAATTGATCCGGCGACACACTGGTTAGCTTTGTTTGAATGGCAGAGAATATCTCGAGGTAGTACATCACCTGGCAAGTAATGGACTCTACCAACTTGGCAGATAGATAGCGTCGCCGCCCACAACTCGAAAGGGATGGTTAGTTTCATGAAGAACGGTGACAGGGCAGTCATACTTGTATAGTTTGCTACTAAAGCTATGTAAGCGTACATTAAAACATCTAAGGGTACATGGAAAGTAGTTCAGGCTATGTAAACTACTCGCAGTGTCGGGGCATCCGGAGACGCTCGATCGTGTGAGGTGGCACACCTGCTACCCAGTATCAAATAAATGTAACGAGATTCTTGGGAATTTGCGTCCCTTGCTGTTGCCTGGCTTCATTCTTCCAGAAATATATTCCCCCCACAGTGCCAATGCCCAACTATCTATCCTTCCCAATACCACTAACACTGTCTTCATTTAAGATTCATTTCTACTCGCCAAAAATAGATATTCCAAGTGTTCGGGGCTAAAAATTCATCTTATTTGCATAATCCAAAATCTCTCGGCTAAAGTCAGATTGCTGCGCCTATTGGATAGGTGAAGGAATGGAAAGACTGTGAATAGTATCCTATCAGCCGCAACATTCAATAAGGGAATTAATAACTGCTTAGAGTTTCCGAGGTGAAATAGGTGCTTATTAAAGCCGTATGTCATCTGTGTTGATGCATAAACCTCTTGATTTATACGCTCGCTGAATAACGGCGATTTAGGATTTAAGCAAGAATGCTTAGCATAGCTCCTTTTGAGTGACATAACATCGGCAAACTTTCCAAATCCATTCAAGCGACTTAGCTTTATTTTAGCACGGGGAAGGTATCCAAGCATCAGTGTCGCTTATGGGATCACATATAGGTATTCGAGTATCGACCTCAGGCACGGTCTTATAGAAATAAGTCATACTCATGAACTCAGGTTAGGGCTCACGGGTGATGGTAAAAAATTCCGGACTAAGACTAGCCCCGATGTTGTTCCAGCACTCTCCAATTTTACTGGATATATCCGTGAAGTATATTTGCCTTTTATCTTATAGTTTTATGTGCTAGGTTGATGGCTATCTTAGTTCTTGTTGGAATTTAGTACAAGCCGGGCCGAGCTGGATCAAGTTGAATTCTGTACTTAGTGCAATATAAACTATTCTCCTTGAATAACCAATATACCTCGTATTTCATCTACGCGTTGAATCATGTTAAGCCCGACGGCTCGCAAAATTTGCTGCTTCACGCTGAAGCTCATATTCCTTCTCAAACCTGGCCATTAAGTGCCCGAGATCCCTACAATGTCGTCACTATTTATTTCAGAGGAAGTCTTACAGTCTGTGAGGCTCACTTATTCAAAGACTGAGGTAGCATACTCACCAGATTGGTCCTCAAAGCTGAATTTGGATAGCACCGACATCTCATCGACAAAATAAAGGTCACTGTTTCGGTGCCAATTTAATCTTTTGATTATCCTTAGTGCGTGAACGTAAAGCCAAGAATCAAGGAGGAAGCTAAGAGTACGCTCGAAAGATGGGCCGCTATGATACTTGTGACCTGCTGCAACATCTTGTTGGGGGTGTCACAATGGGAGTCCTCATTATATGTCATTATATATCAAAGTATGGGTAATATTTATTCGGTGCCTAAACTTTAAACGAAGCAAAGTTGCCGTGATCAAGATGCTCTAGGAAGCTACTTTGCGGAGATGATCTTGTTCGGAAGAAAATTTCTGAATTATATTAGACTACTAAAGGTTTTTTATTGCAAGTTTCACTCCAAGAAACCAGTCTTAGCTGTCACGAGTATTTTTTATACATTATCTAGAGCAACAAAAACTCAATAGGAATGGGCTATATTTTCACCGATAGCCTTAGCTGCTTCTAAAGAACAAAATCTTTAGACCCAATTCTACTTGTAGTTGATGATAGAGAGGTCTTGTCCCAGCTGTAGGGCATTAGTGGAAAAGTTATTATGGTAAAGCTCCTGCAACTCGTGCTAGAAAATTCTCTGGTGAAAAAGGGAAAAGTGATTTAGGGGTGAATCTTACAAGATAGAGAAATACATTCATTAGATAAGCTGAAAAGGCAGCACCTAATCCAGTGACTGCGCTCGCAAAGATATGCAAAATCACATTTCTTTGTCTGTCTATATTGGTAATCGTTGAAAATTTCTAAAGTTAAGAAAGTCACTTTATATATTTGGTCTGATTCAAGTTATTAATAACCTTCGAGAATTGACACCGCTTTAAGACCTTTTAGTTAATCATACATGAAATCGAAGTTTTGAGATGTTTTTATTTTATCAAAACACATGAGCGAACCTCTGATGATTTGTTTTACAATGGATATTTTGCTGTTAAGAGCTAGAAGTTGTCGGTTTCTTGTAATCTCGTAAATCATCTGTACCGTCATGGGTCCGCTTTTGTCCGAGTTTTTTTTCATCTTCAAAAGAATTATGTTTAATGTCTACTCCAGACACACTTCCAGAGGTAGGTGTAACTAAATTTGGAGAGGTACTGGTATGAGGAAGTGCATGATTGGATGGATCCAGAATTTGAGTCTTCATACCTGCCGCTATCATTGGTGGCCGAGATATCATCGGAATACTAAAACGGCCTGTGCCCTGCGTCGTGAATGTTGGTCGAGTCACCCCAAGGAGAGACTTATCTGGAGCAACTACCTTACTCTGTGATTGAGAACCTTGTATTAAATTATGATGCGGTAGCTTGGAAACTTCAGCAGATCTACTCATCATCTGTGAGACAGTGGGATAAGATTGTTCAGCTTCAATATTTGATCCAGGAATTTTACTCAGTAACGATCTTAGTGCCGCCATTATCATATCTTCTTGTGAGTTACCTGGTAAGTCACTTTGTGTCGTAATTCCAAGCACCCGGTTGATGGCTGAGTTGACAATTGTTTCCGACTGTTTGCTTTTCAGAGAATCAAGAAGATTTTTCTTGAATGTTTCCGTTGCTCTGATTACGTCTTCATTAATGTGCGCAGATACTATGATTCCTTGTGCTGCAGTTTGAGCCGGTTTCTGATTATGAACAGGCTGCTGGGGAGATGAGACCGAGTTAAAGACTTTATCCGTAGCTTGTGATTCTAGAGAAAGCGATTGAGACGATGATGCCGGTCCTTGAGTTTGAGTAGTAGGATGTTGCTCAGAAGTTACGGGTTGGCTTTGTGTATGACCTTGACTCACTTTTTCCTTTAACTCATTACTATGGGTTGAAATAACAAACCCATCATCTGATTTACATTGGTTATTTTGTATCTGCTGTTCCATTTTTTCGCTAACATTAATTATCGAGTTTGTGGTATTTATCTGCTTCTGTTCTACTGTTATCGTAGGATCTTTAGTATGGATAGTGCTTTCATTAGCTACAGGTCTAGGAGCATATGGAGAGCTATAAGATGTCGGAACATTTGGTGCGGCTAGCTGTGGTGGTATGGAAGGTATAAAATTGAGCGGAAGACTAGACATCTGAAGGGGTTGTCCATGAATCTGGGGCGGATTTTGGTAACCAGTAGACTGACTAGATTGAATATTGTGCACTGGATATCCATGGACTTGTCCATGTGGATATGAGCCAATCATTCGAGTGTTTCCAGATTGATATAGAGGTTGATGATGAATTTGACCGAGATGACTTTGGGGTGGTGGTGTTGCTCTTTTCTTTTTCTCCTTTTCGATAGAGATACCGTCAACAATACCCCATGTCCAACCTTTTCCATCTTTTTCAACCTTCCTGAAAGCATGGTGCTGCGATAAATTGTGACGGACACTACTCTGCCATCCAAGAGTTTGGGTTTTAAATTTAAAGTACGGATATTTCCTATAGATAGCCCTGTATATATCAGGCAGTCCTAATTGTTGCGTAGGTGCGTTTGATAGAGCCTCATGAATTAAAGTGACATAGTTAGATTGTGGTTTAGCAAGTTGCTCAGGAGTGTAGTCTTCTTCATTCATGACTGGAGATGGAGAGCGTGGAGGGCGCGGTGGGACTTTTTCTTTCTTAGATTTGCAATCTTCCCCTGAGCCAGAGCCATTTACCTCGCAATCTTTGGGTTCTTTAGGTTTTCTCTTTGTGTATTTTCGCTTCTCCCTTGGAGGTCCGATATCAAGTTCTAGAATTGGATGTTTTCGTGGTCGTCCTACTTTGTTTTTGGTAGGGATATCAGACTGTAGTTGATCCATTGATTTTTCCGCTAAGTCTTCGGCAGAATTTTCCACAGATTTCTCAATAGACTCGTCAATAAAACAATTATTAGGATCTTCCATGCAAATCTTAGAAGGATATTCTTGAATATCTAGTCCTGGTGGAATTATAACTTCGTAGCTATTCCCTTTACCCTTTTTACTTTCTTTATCAAGCGTCTTCCCTACACCTTCCTTTACCATAGCTTCAAAAAGTATTTGCTCTTCTTTTTTGAGGAGTTTCTGTTCTCGTTTCGAAAGTATCCCATTCTTAGGCGGTCGACCGGGGCCACGCTTTTTGCCCAGCTTGAGACTAAGTGCTAAGTTAGAGCTAGATTCTAAGCCACCAGCATCAGCTTCATCCGGATCATCTGTTCCGTCTTTTCTGCTCCGATCCCGTTTCATACCAAGCATCTTCCCGGTCATATTTTCAGTAGGTTCTTGGTTCCGTTCTAGATATTGATCTTCTTCATCACTATCACTATTTTCATCACAACTTTTTCCACAATTTTTAGCAGATGCAAGGCGATTACCATGGAGTTTATGAATTGATCTGTTTTGATGTTTATCACTGCATTTAATATTGATTGCATTATCCTCAGACTCTCCTTCTAGATTATTGGCCTCGTCGGAAGAATCAGAATACTCAACAACTGTCGTTGGATCAAGCTGGTTGGGTAACATAAACTGTACAGTAATTCCGCCAACTTGAAGGAAGTCTCCGCTTTCAAGTGGAACGATATCATTTGTATGATACCAGTGGTCCTGGACAAAACAACCGTTTCGTCCGATAATGTGTGCCTCAAATTTGCTCTTCTTGCTGTTGAAGGTTATCTTGACGTGTTCTCGTGATATACTTTTATATGCGCTTATAGGGGCTGTGGTAGGAGGATGAATAGCAACCAGCGGGCAATCATAAGGAGACGGTCGAAGAGTGGCCGGATCGACGGGGACTGGCCCATCGCTTTGTGATATTGTAGACTGTAAATTCTGGGCTTCATATATTTTCACCTTACTGGGTGGCGCATTCGAATTTTGACGAGCATTGGGGGAAGATGAGCCCGTAGACTTAGATTTTGCGCTGTTTTTGGCAATTTTTCGTAGTTTACGCCGACGAGCTCGCTCTTCGGTATTTAGATCATTACCTGTCCTTAAAATCCCACCACTTTCGCTGACGATTGATCGAGTGTATCTGCTACCTTCGTTTTTAACTCTGACCGGTGTCTTAGGGTCTCTAGTAAGAGTCCCATTCTCCAACTGCCTTTGTTTACGCTTTTCATCTCGCATTGCCGCATGCCACGCCTGTAAGTCACGTCCGAGTACTACAGAATAAGTATTCATGTAGAAAAAACCATCCTCAAATATCAACTTTGCATATGCTGAGATACGAGTGGGCTCTTGGATTAGCGGAGAAGGTTCCAAATAGCGTGTTTGATTTATGGGATTATTTATTGCCATGGGCACATCAACAACTTTCTGCATGGTAGATTGAGGAAAATAAGTCGCATCGGATAATTTGTCGATTGAATTGAAGATATCTAAGGCATTGACTGGATTGGCAAAACGAGCGAGCATTTCCAGACCAAGGCTCGCACCAGTGGTATAATTTCCTGTTGCGGAGTAATCTGAAAGATGCAAAGGACGATGCATAGTGTTATCTGCGCATTCATTTTCGTGTTCAGGAATATTGATCATAGAGTGCTGATTATGACTGCCATTTACATCTCCTCTCTCGTCTAGTTTGGCCTCTGGTAATATGTCTGGGTGTGGTATTTCATCATGTATAACTCTTTCAGCCGGTAATAAAGGTTTTGGATCGGTAAAGCTAATTGGTAAGGTATGAATGTCGTCAGCACTAGGTTGGGTTGCAATGGTGCAGCCTTCACTATATTCCAGCATCGCTCTCTTGTCGTCAACTTCAGTTGAAATAGAGGGGAATGAGGTCATTGCAGCTGCCCTTCAATAGCTCGACCCTTCTTCCAAATCCAAGTATTGCCTTTTGAGGTGTTGTCAATATTTGTCGTTTCTATTGAGATGTTGCAACCTCGAAGTCTTCCACTATGCGACAGGCAGACACGAATACCCCAGTCCTTTAACTAAAGCGCTGATTGGCCAGTCGAAAGACCCCGTAAGAGCTGCTAAATCACCGATGTCGAAACCAAATTTAGTAAAGCTTCAATGAATACTGTAATCTATTTGCATACCTCAATCTATAAATCTCACAAATTTTGACTGTTAGATCCGATATTAAACGCAAAGAGAAATATTAAACATCTGAAAGCTCTTTGATCACTTCATCTTCCTGATTTGCACTAGGGTCGAATTCTGTCTGGATGCATCACGAATGTCACACGTGTCATCGACAATTGTTGGGCGGGTAGTGCAGTGGTTGGTCGATTGAGCAAGTGCACTACTTTGAGAAATTAGCGCTAGCACTATGCATAATACGTGCAACACACTAACAAATCGCCTCCGCAGGCCACCCAAGCTAGTTCCATCGAGGCGCATACCCCACGAAATAACTGTAGTCCGAGTGGGCCATGTCATATTCCCAGAGTATCATCGTCGATTCAACAAGCACAATTCCCATAATAAGTTCGCCTGCAGATTGATTTATTCTTATTTTAATGTACTAGGCGCAAGGCTTGCATCTTATTTGACAGGACAATAGCAGTTGAACCCGAAAGACTCAATAATACCAAGATGACCAAAACAATGTGAACTAGGAGAAAACATGCAAAAATATAACTTCTAGGTCCGGCGCTCTGTACTTCGCCTGAATCCCACGATGTTATCCACCAAAAGATCAATTTCTGCGCCAACACTGTGACATGCGCCAACCGTTGCTGTACTGATTAAGTTTAATTTCTCATACCTCTATCCACCGAACCAAACATAGTGTATTCAATACTTAAAGTATCGATATCACTATCCGAAATCTTGGTCTAGGCGCCGACAAACATCTCAGAGTCGAAAACCATCGAAAAATGTAAGTCACAATATGCCCATGAATGACCTTATCACTCTTTCGTACCTCACCCCATGACTCAGCTGCCTCTTCATCCAAAAATTGTGAAGACCGATTAGAGCAACACTCCCCCATAAACGAAAACCTAAGCTTCGTATATTATGACTTCGTTTGCTACCGGCGGGTCTATACGGTATCGTAATTTTGTAATGGTAGATGGCCGATAGTCAACGGGGCAAGATCCCGTTTGCAATTAGAATGAATCCTTAGATATAAATGTCATACGCAGTCTTTGATAATGTTAGTCATTGATTAATCATCACATGTCGCGAGTGATTTTAATCTTTGTAAAATAGCGAAAAGCATAACGTCAACCATCACAACCGCATAACTTTACTTGCGGTTTATGTTCTTTACATCGTATTTAAGTACTCGAAATGTCTCCTCTACCAGTCATTTAGTCGAAATATTTTTATAGTGAAATCAAATTGGAGGACTCCGTGGAAATGTTGAGGCCGACATTGATAAGAAGTGATCGATATAAAAGGAGGAGAATCATGGATGCTGCACGCAAAGGCTGCCACAAAATAATCTATATTTTCCTATGAGGTGAATACTTCAGTGGGACTTAGCAATGTAAGTTGCATGCTGATCATCACCTAACATAGGTTTTTACTAAGCGATGAAACTGGTGCAATCAACAGACCCATTTGCCACCTTCCAGCTACACGCAAGACTTGGCCTGTAAGTCAGGCCAGCCAACTAACACTGGCTAAAACCCGTAAAAATCGATGTTGGGTATTCTAGAGTTTTCATTCGATTTCAATCTGGGAACGATTTATCATGGCTATCCTAGCTCTAAAGAGCGTAATGAGCGTTCACACTGGCAACACTGCAAGTTGAAGAATTTTTATTTGCCGGTCATTGCGACTATGGAGAGGAGATCAATACTACTTTATGCACTATCCGCTGAATTCACATGAAATAATTCGAACTAGAAGATCGAAGTCACAAGTTGGTATTTTCTACCATCTTCTTGGGCCGAAGTGCCTTGAGGTTTGAAAACTTTTTGCACGGAATCCGTTGATACAGGTGCTCGCATATAAGTCTGATCTCAGCGGATGCCGAATTGACTGATCATAGTTAAAGGAATTACAGCAAGAAAAACAGAGCCAAGAGTTCTGTAACTTAGGCTAAAAAATTTGAAATTTATATAACTAGATATTTTTTTGCATCAGATTTTAAGTGCGTATGCAGCTATCTAGCTATGACACAATATCAAAGAAAATTACATGATAGATGACTCAATGTAAAGGAAGAGCACTCATGCCTCGGATTTCATTTGCAAGTACCACTGCGAAGTTATGGCGGCTTTTCCTTCATCCAAGGTCAACCCTCGTCCGTGAATCCCCACCCAGGGGAACGTCTCAAAAACCCTGAGTTATCCAGACATGCCTCCATCACCTTTCAACTTTTCTCCGTGCGAAAGTGGTCTTTGGTGTCTCCTTCCCAAGTGAAGTAGGTGCCCAGGCTACTCATATCATACCATACCAGAGAACACCACCCCATCGTTGGCTTGTTTTTATAGTGTCAGCTGCACTCTCGCAATCGAAGTTGGGGTATACAAAGCTTCATTCGTAAAACTCCTTGCCAAAATACCAAAATTAACGCCTATCGAAACTCTTTTCTTCCTTTGCATCATCTCGTGAACTTGTCCTGATCCCTCTCACGTTCATCCCGAAGAACTGTCTCCCAGATTTGTGCGCCACGCTTTGTATCCTTCGTCGGGTGTGAATATCGGCGTGGGTGTGTATTTGGTGACCGGCTGAGGCCAGAGAATGTCGACGAGAGGTGTTGTCATGGAAATGAGGATGTACTAGATCGTACTTGTAAACTTGATGAGGCTTAAGTAGGAGTTGATCTCGTTGAGAGGGAAGAATTGACATGGTGGAGTACTTTGAATTATTGCCTCGTGGGCCAACCCCTTTGGAATTGCGAAATTTGACTGAACTTGGCTCTGGGAGAATATTTCACTTCCAGGTTCGTAGAGGACACCGCGTACAGGTGTTCAGTCTTGCCCTCCTGACTAGATATTTGTGGGACAGGAAGTTCTTATTTGATTCCATTTGTTGTAAAAATCTGAGTTCAAAACTGCACACACCATCAGGGGATAAACGTTCACCAGCTAAGTTAACCCCTTAGAGTCTAATAACTAATGCCTCCTGGTCGCTACATACTGACATCAACGTGTTCACTTCAATGAGGACAACATTGTAGTTACTCTAGCTATCATAGACAATACCATGTAGAGGAACAAGGGTAGGAACTCCTGTATATAGATAGGACCTTTTTACTCTCAGTATCTACATCCATCATCCACAAATACAATTCACCATCAATCAATTATCTTACTCTATCCGAGTGATCTCTCGAATTCTTCCATACCTATCAGTATTCTATTCACAATGTGACGTCTCCCTATCCATCGCCCTCAGCCTTTCAATACCATTTACTCCTTTCAGATACTCTGTGGGTCCGTGCATGTCGATAAAGCTATAATATTTACACAGGAGGAAGTTAATCAGTGGAAATCCTCTGATCCTATCTGTCTTATGTCTATTGGTTCCTAAGTTTTCCTTCAGGAAACGCGTTTACTCTGTTCATCGAGTGTAAATTCTGTTCTATTCTATTCCCGATCAGTTCATCCTTTCATTGACTGCTATCTCAACTTCTTTCGCAAGCTGGAACTATTCAATTCAACCTCTACCCCGGGTCTACTTTGTAATTCTCTTAAAATCATCAGAGCTGTACATCATGGCTTCCAGGGCCTATCCTTTGCTTGTCGCAGCACCTCTCTTCCCATAGCCCACTGATGACTAGCCAAGACCATAATTTTAACGTTTTGTGCCGGATATCCACACTGGTATTTTAGGTTTACCACTCCGGGTACCTTTTTTCGGTATAAATAAGATTTGAGCTCGATGTCCTTAGTTCTTATCTTAAATTTGAGGGGGACTTTTCTCAACACCTGTAAGTGGTGTCTCCTACAAACCTCTAGCTCTCACTGTAGTTTCTGTAAAGCCGAGATTGAGTAACAAAGTCCTCACTTCGACGAGTATTCCCCGTCGCTTTCGCCGTCTGCATCGTCTTCATCTCTCGACACATCTCCCTATCACCATCATCATGAAGCTAACCACGATCAGATCAGATGGTAGGGTCGGAGCCCTACTCATTACGAACCCTTGATCATGGAGGAGAAGCCATCTGATAAGTCTCCGGTGTGTACCCAGCACCCGATACGGAGATGGTGGATTTGATCAAGTCGGCCTCGAATATTACGAAGAAGGGAGATGTACATAGATATGCGAACCTCATGTGGTCCCGGTGTCTAGGCCTCGCCTGGCTGGGGCAGCAGATTTTTAGAGACTTTTTTCCGCGCACACAGTTTTCATTGCTACCATTTTTTGGGTCGAAGAGTTCGTAAAAAAGGTGGCTGAATTCAACGGGTAAACAGTTGGCTAAATGGCTATTCATCACTGGCAATATACCAATGATCTTACGAGTAACAAAAGAGGATAGGAGCACTCTACAAGGTGTGGCCTAGACCAGAGATGAGCTCAATGTGCTACATAGTCTGAGGCCCAAGTAGTATGATAAACACACCTCGCTCTCTCTCTTAATTTTGATATTGCTTTGGATCTTGCTAAGATTTTGGTGGATGTTTGAGGGTGGGCTTTTGTAATTGATCTTTTTTCTGCCTTTTATTTTATCGGTGATGATGTTTACTTCTTTCCAATTTTCCGGTTCTGCCGACACCCGATGACGAGACAGTTGTCACTTCTTTGAACGCATCCATGAGCTTTCTCATCTCTGAAACGTGGCTATCTTACCAGTTTCTTTTTGTCTGATATTTGCCTGTTCGATGTCTGAAATTTTGGCTCATTCAGTAATATCCGGCTTCCATTCTTGGTGTAGCTGC